TACGGCCCGCTTCGGTTTCTGGGTTAGTGATTAAGCTTCTCCTGTGACCCAATTGAAAGGGCCCAACACCTGAAGACCTCAAAGAAATGCCAGTTAAAAGGTGCTGGGTGTGACAGCGCTTTATCCGCGCCCCCATTGTCCTCCAATAACCCAACTGGTTTTCATGACCTATCCTAAAATGCGCCATGAGAATCAGGGCTTTCTGATTCCGCACCAATGTTCTAAGCCTGAGGACCCTTTACTGCACAGTTGTTCATACTTACATTCCCTCTGCCTGCTTACAAAGTTACCATTAATTTCACTTTCCAACACTTCCCATCTCTTTGTGTGCGCTCACTCTCTCAAATTCTCCTCCATATTTCCACTCCCAGATACTCTTGAACTTTTGCACACATTGCCAGTTTGAGCCTGCATGGAACAATCAGTATATTAATTCCACTCGGAGAGAGTGAGGTTTTTCTAACACAATCTGCGCAACCTGAACTCTTTCCTTCAGAAACACTTTGCCTTTAAAAAGAAACTCCCAGCATGAACCTCATAAGAAGCGACATGTAACAGACAGTGCATGTGGCGTTGGGCATGCAGCTCAGAATTAAAAGAGAATTTTTTACTTTGTTTCTTCGGTGCCATGTGCATAATGTACATGTGGACGAAACTGACATCAGACATTTAAAGCAAAAAAAAAAAAAAAAAAAGGAAAAAAAAGAAAAAGGGATGGGGGAGGGGGATGTGATGGTGGCGGGAAAGAAAGAAAATGTGTTGATAAAAACAGTAACTTCTGTTAATCTACATTTTTCAGTTACTGTCTTAATTAAGAATGTTAGGAAATATGTTGCAGTTTAATTGCATTGTTTCAAGAAATTCTAATGCTGACAAATTTGGGACTATGTACACTTGGATGGTTTAAAGGATTAAAGTGGTAATTTCTTCCAATTGGGAGATAACAATCAAAATGATACTTCCCCCACGCCCCCCCCCTCCACCCCATGTTCAGCATGAAATGAGCCCTGGGGGTGGGGGTCAAAGTAATGTGTTTTTAACCTGTGTCTATGAGATATAAATAGTTTTTTTGAAATTTTTTAATGTTTATTTTTGAGAGAGACAAAGAGAGAGCGAGCAGGGGAGGGACAGAGAGAGGGACACAGAATCCAAAGCAGGCTCCAGAGTCCCAGCTGTCACGTCAGCACAGAGCCCGATGCGGGGCTTGAACTCACGAAACCGTGAGATCATGACCTGAGAGGGAGTCGGATGCTCAACTGACTGAGCTACTCAGGCGCCCCACGAATAATTTTTTAATACAAAGAATTCACAAAAATGAAATAGCACCTCATCTGAAATAACTGGGTGACATTGGTATCCTTGCAGAAAAGAGTTATTTATGAAAGAAATTGGTAATGATCTCCAAGTGATTCTCAGATGACCTTGTGTCAGACAGTGAAAATCATCTGCCTCAGCCACAAGTACATAAAAACAATGACAGTTTGAAGACATATTCAGATTTTGGGACACTGTTTTCTTCCCACTGCAGCCCAGTCCTGCACATGCTCTACGTTTCATTTCCTGAGGTGGGGGGGAGGTTATTCACTTTTAACCTGGGCTCTCACTTCTTATTTGCTCCCATTCTCTGGGGCAGTTGGGCTCACTGCCTGTGATCGGGGCGGGGGTCTGGGGTGGGGGGTGGGAGCTCAAACCCTAAAGGAGATGCTGCTGTTCAGTGCTCTCTGCTCCCATGGCACGCAGCACAAACCAGGCACCCACAAGAGACTCCCACTGACCTGACTGGCTGCTGCTTTGATAACGTGGTCAGATAAATCAGCCAGTTCTTTCACTGCCTCAGCTACTCATCGCGCCTCCCGTGGACCGCAATGCATGATACATCAGGGCATCTGATACATCATGGCGCCTGGGGGTGGGTCACCCATTCCCTTGAGGAGGCCGACCCAACTTGATAGCAGCAAAAGGCATTGCATCGTATATGCAGTGGCCCTGAACTGGCCGCAAAGAAAGATCTGTTTGCCCCAGAACGCAGCTGAAGTGTCCAGAGAGCTTGGCCAAGAGAACAGCTCCAAAGGTTTGCTCTGGCTGGAAGGTGTCCCTTCTGCCTCAGTTTCTCAAAACAAGAACGGACAGAGAACGTGACCCCAGATGAAATATTGCCCACACGGTGCCAGTATGGCAGTGTCTCAAGTCTTGAACTTATATTTGCATTTCGTATCAGGGAGTGGAGTCCTGCTCAGTTAATGGCATGCATGACCCAAAAGACCAAAGAATTCACTGCTATGGAATTAGTACAATTTGTTTTTAAGCGGCACACATGAGATCCAAAATGGTGAAGGGGCACGCACGTCTCTTAGGTGGTCAACACCTGGGACCACATAAAACTCTGAGCTGACCCATTAAGGGATTAAACATTTTTCATCTCTTGGGGTTTCTGGAAGTTGTGGTGGGAGAACACCTCCCGGGGAGCTGGGAAAGGCCTCTGTCGGCCAGGACCCCTGCAGGGACCGCAGGAGGGGACCTGGAGCAGGACCCCAGCGTTCACTTCCAGGTTCAAGGGAGAGGAGAGAGTTCAGGCAGACATCCAGGCGGGGAGAGCCCAGAGCGAAATTCTAAGTGGAAAAGTTCTGAGTGCATTCTCGGAGTTGGAAGAACACTAAAAGAAGGAGAGGCCACAGGGGGGGAGGAAGAAGGGAAACAGCTCCCGCCCGAGGGCCGACTGCCTATCCAGCAGCGGCAAGGCTGTTCCCGGGCTCCCAGGACCATTTGTTCCATTACACAATCTCCTGAAGCCATTTAGAGAGAGCTCAAACAACTGCCTGTACCAACACGACACATGGCTTCCCATCCCGACTCTTTGCTAATCCAGACGCTCCAACCATCTTTCTTTAAGATGCCATATGGTTGGCAGAAGCCTGTAGATCTAGCAGCACATCTGCTTGTAAGTTTCTCCTTCCCCTCCATCCCCCTAACAAAAGAGGGATCGGGAGACAGACCGCGCGGGGCACGCAGGCGTACCTCTGCCCATATATAGTTCTTTCTTTTGAAGCCTGCTAACTAAACAGAACTGTTAAAGGGATGATCGGGAATTATTCGGGGCTCGCTCATTTTTAACTCGACAACATGGCGATTTATTTGCCTGTCGTGATTCAGAACAAGATTAGAAAAACAAAGGGTGGCTGGTCTCCTTTTTCCAAGAGCTTGATTTCTTGAAAACCACTTCAAAGCTCTCCCTCTGGGAATCCTTGGGAGGCTTTCTGGCCGAGGGAGAGGGACGGCACCCTTGCCTGAAGCTATTTCTCCTCTTCTTTTTGGTCAAGGAAGACGGACAATCTGAGAAACCAGCAGATACCCAGAGCCTGCTTTGTTAGCAAGCACGGCGCGGCTGTATGCTAATGAGCCGGCACTGACACACTGCTTTTCCGTATGATGAGCAAAGATTGTTGACGCTGTTGAAATCCTGGCTCTCCTGGCCTGTGAGCCCACGGGCTGCCTCCTTGGAATCCGGCCCCCAGAAAGACAGGCTGCAAAAAAATAATACATTCGACTCTCCTGATGACTGAAATCTGGCCATTTGTAACTTAGAGCGGTGGGGGACGGGGGAGGGGAGCGGGACTGGGAAAATATTCTAAAATATTTCATCAGGCCAGGAATCAGAAAGACTAACTTCTAGACAAACTAAAAGTTAAACCTGGCAGACACATGTGAGTGATCGAGGCCAGGGCGCTCGGCTTCAGGAGCAAAAATCTGCAGAGTGGGGGTGAGGGGCAGTTGGTCTAGCCTCTGTAACATAGGGACAGCTGGGATATTCCCTCCGGACTGGTGCAGAGAGCCCTCTTGCAGATGGGACACCCCCACTGGTGGCACCACTCAGTCACAGGTGAAAAGCCGTTTCTGATCTCCTTGTAAATTTGTTCGATCCATGTGTTGGTTGACCACACATGGTTTTCCAAGTCCGTGCAAATGAGGGATGGTAAAAAAAGCAAACCGAATATTCCATTGTTGCAAAAGTAGACCCTTTTTTTTTTCTTTCAGAAGTCAAAGAAGGGTGGAAAAGGATGCGGTGTTAAGTGCTGAGCACGTTAAATGAAATATCCCTTTATCTGCTTGGAAACTCTAAGTAGTCAGGCACTATTATTTTGATTTAATAGATTGTGGAGACTGAGGCTTAGAAAGGGTTAGCAAAAAAAAAAAAAAAAAAAAAAAAGATGAAGCAAAACTTCAGCAAACCTGCAGTGAGGAATTGCTGAACCCCAGGGAGCCTGGGTGGCTCAGTTGATTAGGCATCTGACTTTGGCTCAGGCCATGATCTCATGGTTCGTAGGTTCGAGCCCTGTGTCGGGCTCTGTGCTGACAGCTCGGGGCCTGGAGCCTGCTTCAGATTTTGCATCTCCCTCTCTCTCTGTCCCTCCCCCACTAGCGCTCTGTCTCTCGCTCTCTCTCAAAAATAAATAAACATTAAAAAATTAAAAAAAGAAAAAGTAACTGCCAAAGCCATGCAGATCTCATGAAGTCCAGTAGCCTCCAGGTGTTCAGGGACACTTCTGCACAGACACGTCCCCTCAGGATATGCCCGGGTTCCAGGCTGCCCACCTGAGCAGACCACTGTCAGCTGGTGAGCAATAAACTAGTTCAAATTAGTATGCTGACGGGGGCACCAAACTGTAAATTCCATTTACTTGTTATCTACAATGTGAATGAAAATTCATGTAACTGAAATGCAAAAACATGAGGAGTGACTAAGAAAGCATTGGATATTATAATGAAAGTATCAGAACTTAGCCATTCAAAAAGTATGCCCTTCAAATTATTCCCCTTGGGGATGTGGGGATAGCACGTGTTTTCCAACCACAAGGCCACTGCCTAGATCTTGCCGACAGGTTCCTCCTTTCTGAAACTTCCTCCATAGCCTCGGGCCTCATGGGTGGATACACACATAAGTCTGTGAGTATGTGTTCAATGCATTTTGTCAAATTCATACATTTGTCCCCCACCCCCCCCCCCAGGGGAAAGTGCGAATGCAGTCACCCACTACCACAAATTGTGCAGTCAAGTTTCCCACATTTGGGGAAATCGCAGGGGTCAACACATCCGGAGTGCAATGGATAAGCCTCGCCCTGGGAAAACCACCTTCGCTGATCATGGTATCTCCCTTGCCAGGTAAGTATAAAAATCATATGTTTTAATATAAAATACATGCAGTGCAGGTTATACTACTCGATGATTACACAGACTAGATGCCGGGAGCCTGATTCTATTATCAACAGGAACAATAACCTATTATTAACAATTGTTTTGTTACCATTGAGATGCAGCTATGTAGAATGACGACTTTGAATTAAAAGAAAAAAAACCTACGTTGAAATCTCAGCATGGTCCCAGGCAAATTCTTCTAAGCCTGTTTCATTTCCAATATAAAATGATTCTACTACCTCCCAGGACTACTTGGAGAGTTAGAGACAGCATGTAAAATGCCTGGCCCTTAGAGATCCTCACTAAGTGAAAGTACAATCATCATCATCATTATTATTTTTAATAAAGTGTTTCAGGGGCGCCTGGGGGGCTCAGTCAGGTGAGTGTCTGACCCTTGATTTCGGCTCAGGTCATGATCTCACCGTCGTGGGATGGAGCCCCGTGTCAGGAATCTCTGCTTGGGGTTCTCTCTCTCTCCCCCTCTCTTTTTGCCCCTCCCCCGCTCATGCGCGCTTTCTCTCTCAAAACAAATAAAAAACATTAAAAAAGTACTTCAGAGCATATGCACAGTGCTTCCACATACACGAGCTCACCTAACTCTGAAAACGGCCCCGAATATACGAAGTGCTGCTTCTTTCAAATGAACGAGGCAATTAAGATTCCATAATAACATAACTAAAGCAATAAACAGTATGAGGTATTATTATTATTATTAATTGAGACTCTTCTATGTGCAGTGACTGTGCTAAGTGTTTTTCCAGTTATTTGTAAGTCATTATTAGCAACCTTTTCAAGAAGGTATTATGGCTACTATTGTGATCCTCATTTTATAGACAAGAAAGTGAGGCCCAGAGATGCCCCCGATATCTTGCCTTATTCACATAGTAAGTGGAGAGCTAGAACACAATCCCAGGTCTGTCATCTAAACCCATGATCCGCACGGCAGCTATAAAATAGCTAAGACAGGACTGAAAGCCAGATTTCTCTGTTTAAGATCTGGTGCTCCTTTGTCCATACCACATTGTCCTTGGGTGGAACTTAACTAAAAGCTACTGGGCGTTTGACAAGACAGTCTCCTAGCAAAACAAAACAAAACAAAAAACAACTTTGTCCTCACCAAATTTCCATGTATGCTAGTAAATTCTATAGGGTCCGTGGTTCAAGTATCACGTGTGTTTATGTGCACTTGCACAGAGCCTGAATGCTGGGTGCCCCCTCCAGCGTAGTGAAAAATTAGAGCAGTTTTCCTTAGAGCATTTGAATGCATCACACACACAAACACACACCATCAGAGCTGTCATTATATACTTGGAATCCAACATCACTGAGGTTGTCAGGAATTTCTTATCAAGACAATAGTCTTTCAATAAAAGTTAACTGTCAATAGAAGGCTTCTGAATCAAAATGATCTGCTGGGGATGCTAGAACATTTGGAGGCTGCTGATCAGATGCTGGCATGGAGCAAAGGGAGGTTTGGTGCACATATGTGCCCAAGCAGACAGCTCCGCCCCACCCCCACAAAGCCCCGAGGTGTCCCCGAGACTCTCCTCTGGCTTCTGGGCCAGTGGGATCTGGGGGCTGTAATCTGGGGTGGGTTTTTCTCCGGCCTCTGCTCTCTCCCTCCTCACATCCCCCTCACCTGATTGGACCTGGACTGATTTCCAAAATCACTGGATCCCCCAGCTTCCTAATTTCACCGCTGACTCCAACTCAGTTCAAAACAGAACAGGATTTTAACCAACCAGCCAAGCAAACAAACAAATACCTTTTCTATCACTTCAGTGCTTCCAAATTCATTAATCTTTGGTCACATTTCCAGTCAACAGTCAAAAGCAGTTTCCAGGAGGGTCTGAGCATAATAGACTGTGAACGGAGATGTGTTGCTTGGAAGTTAGCGCTGTATAAGCACCAAGTGCCCCCACGCTTTCAAACTTAAAGGAGATGAGTCTCAAAGGCCTCTCTAGAGTATTCTGGAATGCATCGTTATGAGGCAGCACTTCTGATCTGTCAGGGGTGGAGACCTGATTATTAACCGTCCGTCCCCCTGACAGTATTCCCCAGAGGCCGACATTGTGAACATTGTGTCCTTCATTAATTGCAAGGGCTGCAGTAGTCCTGGGTTACAGCACGAGAACAAAAACCCTGTTTCATTCTAACTTCGCTAAAGGTGTAGGGAAGACCTATTTAATGTTCACGAGCTCTGATTACAGGTTGTACACGTTGCTCCCTGTGCTGAGCGCTGTGGCAATGCACATAGCTAACGTTTATTGAGTCCTTGCTGTGTGCCAGGCACTGCTCTGAACATTTGTGTAATAATTCGTGCAATCCTCTTAACCCCATGAGATACGTAACACAACTGTCATAATTTTATGGATGGAGATGTTTAGGCCCACGTTAAGTAGCTCGTCCCAAATCACACAGCGCAGAAGAGGGCAGAGCAGGTATTTGAAGCCGTGCCATCTGGGTTCAGAAGGCACGTTCTTAACTACCCTTCCCTATGATGACTCTCAGAGACATTAAGTAGGAAAGGGTCTGATTCTCAGCCTACCAGCCATGGGAGTTTGGTGATGTTTAGCTTCTCTCTAACCAGATGACTTCAAAGTAAAATGTAATTTTTACCATACATGTCCCACCTGTCCATCTCACAAGATTGTTAGGAAACTTTATTTTATATTCATGTTCTCACTCCCATGATTCTCTGCTTTCTTTCTCCCGTGTGCAAAGGTCTAGTGTAGGCCCATTGGGCGTGACCTCTTTGAGGGGAGGGCCAGTATCTAATATATTTCATTATATCTAATATTGTGTGGCCAGACCTCACAGCTTGCTATGACTATCTTCATCACAGCCTCAGAAATTGCCTCTTTGGGTGCTAAGTAGGGGCCCCAAAATGAACAACCAAAGACCTTTGGCTTTGCCAACCGAAGAAGGGGGCACAGATTTGTATAGATTTGTGCATCCTGCATTTGGTGTTTAAATGCCTTCTCCAAATGGTCTCAGACAAAATGAAAAGGCACTGAAATCAGCCAGCCCCAGTAAGATATACAGGGACGGTCTGACGAGAAATAAGCTAGGGAAAAACAAGTAGTAGCTTCTCTTCTGGAAGCCCCTGAGGTCAGCTTTGTCATCAGCCCACGGTGCTCAGGGATATTAAAAACACTGCCACAATGGAGCGAACACAGCTAACGTGATAGAAAGGAGACAAGATTGGATATAAAACAGAAATACTGCCTTTCCAGAGAGAGAAAATTGTTAATACAAATGAACAGCTGTTTGGGAAGAAAACATTATTTCTCCAAACCCAGACAAAGCTCTATTTATTACATTTCAGAGACACTTAAATTATAGTGTCTGAAAGCTATCCTATCATGGGTTTATCTGTGACACCTAAATTATCCAAAAATCTGAGAGGTTAAGCCAAAATAAAGGCTTTCCTGTGAGAAAGGCTTCTAGAGAGAAAGTTCCTCTTTTTCCTCAAAGGAGCAGGTGAATAAATTCACTGTGTAGCATAACCAAATGAATACTAAATTCCAGCACTAAACTTTCTGGAAATGCAATGGAATATTAAATGCAAAATTCATTCCAAGATGTTAATGTATGCTATTTAAAAATCTAAATGCATAGTTCACTATTCCCATTGGTCTGTTTATATTCTTGTGTTCACATGGGTTCTCGACTGCATCCAGCTCTGGGTCTGCCCCAGGTGCTCCCCAGAAGTCCTAGAATGTTCTCTGTGCTTGCTGTGCTGGGCCAGTCCTGTTATGGGAGGTGCTGGAAATGGCATCAGCCCTGACCCTTCCAGAGGAGACCAGGGCTCACCAACACCTTTCTCACTGACTAGCATGTGTCTGGCTGCCTTGAGGCATTTCTGGAAAGTTGACTGTCACACTCTGATTAAAAAAAAAAAAAAAAAAAAAATGGGGGCACCTGGGTGGCTCAGTTGGTTAGGCGACTGACTTCGGCTCAGGTCATGATCTCGCGGTTTGTTGAGTTCGAGCCCCGCATCAGGCTCTGTGCTGACAGCTCAGAGCCTGGAGCCTGCTTCGGATTCTGTGTCTCCTCCTCTCTCTACCCCTCCCGTGCTCACACTCTGTGTCTCTCTGTCTCTCAATAATAAATAAACGTTAAAAAAAAAAAGTAAAAAAAAAAGTAAAAAAAAATTGCCACGAAGGGGAAAAAATGAAGAAAATCCTATTTGGCAGGGTCTAGGGAAAGTTACACAACAGACCAAGTGACCAGGTTAGGGGGCACTGTCAAGGTCAAGGGTAGGCTTGCCTCAGTCCTTTCTGCTCATCCCTCCAATCAATTCAAGTACAGCACAGGCTTCAGGCTAGATGGGAAACACAACAAAAGCAACACCATAAAGAAGGAAACTAAAATCCATAATCCTGTGATGCTACCTTACCACGGGGTGACCTGAACTTGAATGCTCTGGGGCCACTCAGGAGTCTCTATCACCCTACACAAGACGTGTGCTTCCCTCCTCTCGTTAGCACTTGGTACCGTTCTACCTTTACTTCCAACACACCTCGTGGGGTGCAGTGCGGCATAGTAAGTTAGTGAAGACTTGAGAGATTCCTAGTGAAAGGTGTTATGGTGTTATGTAAATACACAGTATTATTTTGTCTTTATTCCAGCATTACTGGTTTGAAATAGTTCAGTGTGTGTAAATATGTTTAATAATGTGTATTAATTAGATTTTTTTTTTTTTTTTTTGGAATTCCCTGGCGTCTCAGTTAACTAAGTGGTAGCAGGTTTACTGGTGCAGGGAACTGTTAAGGACAGTGTCTGACAACTATCCGTTGGTCTGTCCCATTCAGATCAAATTCTAGCTAGGGGAATCCACTCAGTGCGTGTAGTCATTTACTTGAGCCCAAGACGAAATCGCTAGGTTGTGACCCCCTCGTGAAAATAAAGAGCCAGATGCAAATGCTAAAATTCACAACATGCGAGCAACCCATCCCAGAGAATGGGAGGA